CCCCCCCCCCCCCCCCCCCGGAAAAAATCCTAGAGGAAACACTGTAAAGCCCAATATAACAAATCACAATTTGCCTCACAGGGCACAGGCAAACCTTTAATGGGGAAATAAAATGATAGAAACCGCAGGAAGAGCAACTGAGGAAGGATCCCTCTTCCAGGACGACAGAAGTGCAATAGATGTCGTACAGAAGAGATCAACATAATACATTAACGGTAATCTGTATGACACAATGACACAGAAGGGGAGACAGAGACAGAGAGAGATGCAGGACAGACGGTAATGATGATAGCTTACGACAACATTATTTAAAGTAATAATATTACAATAATAATTACGGCTATTGTGGTACAATATGTTGAAAGTATATATTAATATCTAATAGTGCACATGTGATAATAATCATGTGTGTAACAGTAGAAGTATGATGACTAATGATAACAGCAGCAGGAGGCATCAGGCAGGACCATGGCAGCAGCACAACCACACACGTCACACTATCCAATCACCCAAAACACATTTTAATACAAGATGTAAATGGGGCCTCAGTCTATAAGCTCTTCTTAGGGAAATTTCTGATTTACCTAAGCCAGAAGTCTTTATTTTGGAAAGCAGCCATAATCTTAGGTCACATAAATGGCTTCAGATTAAAGTGCCTTTTATCAGCACAGAGGCCTGCAAAACAAGCCTGTCTACTACAGTCTTTGGTCCTGGAACGATCTGAAGGCCAAGCTCAAACTAAAGACCTTTATCTCTTTATACATTTTAAACTTAGAATAAATAAAGTGGTCACTGCTAACTACAGTAGTTCCAATTATTACTCTCTGACTCAAAATGTGATCTCGTTCAGTGTGAAAATTAAAGATGAGAGTGCATCTTGATCCTGTAAAGTCTCTACTAAGCTTTCTAGGGCTTTGGTCGAAATGCTCTCGTCCAACCAAATTCTCATTAGTTCAATAATCGCTGTGTTACTTTCATAAGGAGCAAAGTGCTACATCAACAGCTTTCCAGGATTAATCCATTATTTCCTGCCCCCTTTGTTTACACAACGTTGAACTCACCCACCCTAACGCTCAGCGGTGACGCAGACCTCCTGTCTGCATACTGACACCTTTTCCCTCAGTGGAAACAAAGCTTGTATATACTTGTATTTCACAGATAGGAAACAATAAATTGTGAAGACAGTAAAGCCTCAACTAAAATAGCATTACAAGTCTTGTGTGTGATCTATCCTTCAGGGATTTATACTTAGGGAATTAACCTGGCTTCATATGAACAGTAGGAAATCTCATCGCCAGGCTAATTTATACAATGTAAAATGCCATAGGCTGGCGCTAATAACGTTAGCATGTTGTATTTGTTTGGAAAACATGTTCAGTATAAGACAGTTGTTTTGTTGGTGCATGCTGTGAGTTGCAATGGAGCCAAAATGTGTGCCGTTACATTTGTTAAATGTTGCTGTTGTCCCTGGTTTTATATGAGAAGAGGGAAAGATCGCTAGTTGCTAGGCTAATTTATACAATGTAAAATGCCATAGACTTGTGCTAATAACGTTAGCATGTTGTATTGGTGAGGGATATGTGTCCAGATAAAGACAAGTGTTTGTCTGTCAATGCTGCGATTTATAGTGAAACCTATTTGCGTACTTGTGTACACCTAAACTTTACAGCACTTAACAGAGTCCTCCACCGCCAACTAGTGTTTTGGAGGTGTAACTGCAGAGTGACACAGACACACCACCGCAGAAGTAAAAATAACTTGCAGATTATTTTTTTGCCCACGACTAATCGATTAGTTGAAGATTATGTAAGACTTCAGTCGACCAAGATTTTCTTTGGTTGACTACAGCCCTAAAGCTTTCACCAATATGCTTTTATACTGAGCATACATTGAAGGCCTTTTTTTGCCCAGTTTGACATACCCCCCCCATTTCAACATTAAATTTTAAGCTAACCGTCCTACAGTATCTCAGAACTTTATTTTCCTATTCACATAAATAAAGGCCTCTTTCCTCCGGCCCCCAGTGCAACTGAAAATTGACCTTAAGAATACCTTAGTTATCTTCATGACCTTGCCAGTCAGAGCCTGTTATTTTGTTGAATAGATTTTGTACTTTACTTTTCTACACAATATTTTCTCCTTTTCTTTTTGGAGTGAACTACACAAGTGAAAGTTATCCTTTTTATTTGCCACATCTATATGCACACTAACCCCTCTCTAACAACAGCTTTGGGTGAACAAGCAACATTTATGAAACAAAGATATGTCTTATTTTAATTTTGTTTTATAAACGTGTTTAACCTGTGATCCAGATAGGGGACTCCACCACATAATTGCCGCTCCAGGGCTCCTCAGCTGTCATCAGCCCGTCTCTGCCGAATGGCAGCTCCTCATAGTAGCTTGCGATCAGATTCCAGGAAATGGTGCTGGGAGAAGAATCATAGTCATTAACAATGCAGCTGGACAGAAGCACTTCTAGGCTAAGCTTACCCTGCATAGGTACAGTCATAGGGCCCTATAATTTCCGCAATGCGGAAAACACGGACAGAATCTCAGAATTTGACAATAGAAATAGAATCTGCACTAAAGCGTGGAATATCGTGGAACTGGCCAAAATATGGATGCAATTCATAAAAGTCAGGGCCTTACATAAGTGTTTTGCCACTGCGTGTAAGCCAAATGAACAAAACAAAACAAACAACCAAACAAACAACAAACAAAACTCCTACAGTGTTTCAGTGTTATTTATGGGCAGCTGCTTCTGTTCTCTGCTGTCAGGGTTGGTGTTTCACCAAGTGCAGGGCTCACCTCCTCCAAACACACCAGGTGTAAAGGCTCAGACACACCAAACCGACGCTGGAGAACTAGCAGCAACAAGAGCCCTCTCCTGCCTTGCCTCTCGTAGCTGTGTGGTGGGTTAGGGCCTTGCAAAATTCTGTCTGGGCAGTGAATACAATCAGCCAACTAATTGACCATGTTTGCTCTACTCAGACTTCGCTCTGCTCTGCCTGGGTCTGTCTCCGACTTCAACACTGGTTTGACACTGGTCTCCATCAGCTAAACTAGCTCAAAACCTCCTGTGGTCCTCAGGTCATCCTTAGGCAGCGTCTGATGTTTCTGCATCAAGCCAGCCCTCACTCCTACCTCCATTGTCAAACCGTAAATGTATTGTAACGGCCCAGGATACACAAATGATTACGTACGCTTTTCAAAATAAGGTGTTAACACCAAAAAAATACATGAATGAAAATGCGAACATTTGGATTATATCTGCAGGAATTCAAAATATGTTACCTGCATCCCTTATAAATTCAGAGACCCTGCTAAACTGTGAGGGACAATTCTTTGATGAGAAAACTGAGGAACACTAAGGGCTAAATTTAGAGCACAGCAACGTAAAGCTCAGATGTGAAGCACTTTATTTCACAAAAGGATGGAATGTTTTGTTTTTTAACTGTAATGAAATACTGTCTTTGATTAAAAAACATAGTGCAGCATTGTATGACATCAAATTCATCAATATTCATTAAAGTTTTTTTTTTTCTGATGACAAAATGTGCTAAAAACATCAAACGCAGAATTCAGACACAGAAAAAAAAAATCCCTAGAAAAGGTTAATCAAATAAAGGATTTGCTACAATCCGAATGAAATAAACTCATATGCTCAAAAATGCACATTACTTTACTACAAAGTATTGCTTATGCATTTACTCACGCCGTCATTAGTCCATTGACATAGTTCTGATTGAGGATGCGAGCCCAGCAGCCTCCCCCCACCTCATCATTGAAAGTGCTGTAGTCCTCTGAAGACCACAGCTTCTTCTGTGTCTTTAGGGCGTCCTTTACTGTGTTGGTGCCTGGGTAATGGGCCCTGTACATCACACATACAACACACAAGGTCAAGGTCAAGGTCATTATGAGAAGAAAATAACTGAGGTCTACAAACATCTAGGTGTCAAATGTGCACACACACACACACACACACACACTTTTTAAGCAGTAATTTTTGTAAGTCAGGGTCATTTCGAGCATAAGAGTTGACTTTTATCAAAATGAGAGACCTAAGATTTCCAGGTTGATATTTGGTGTAATGTCTGTGGTCTACTTGAACTTGCATGGTCATGCAGGCTTGGGTGACATTACCTGCAAATCTTACATTTTAAATCATTCATTTTAACTTCAATAATGTTCACAGGAGCCAGACACTTTATTCACATCCATGAAGGAGTGTGAATGTCGCTGCATCATATTCAAGCGGGGACCTGTGTCGTTTTGTACAAGCAAAGAGGGGACTTGAGTCAATATGTAAAATCTATCTTTTTTGTTATAGAGTCAGTAAAGCTGTAAAGCCTTAATTTTATGCCTTTTTAGGATGATTTTTTCCCCCAAAGAAATAACTGCTATGGAATCTACAAAACACCTCTGTCCAGTGCCTTTGGATAATCTTCTGGGAAAGTGAAAACACAGAATCTAGAATCAAAATGTGTTATTTTCAGCGTGGCCTGTACATATGGAATAAACGTCATATCCAAGACCCTTTGCAAATTTGAAGGACACAAGTGTATGAACAGAAAACACAAATGTAGAAGCCACAACATAAATGAAGAGGCCACAACGGAAGTAAGCATCAACAGATGCTGACAATGAAACAGGCCTGTCACCATCCGATCTGTACATCCTTACTGATGTAAGGCGCTGCACATGTGCAACTCTCAACATAACTAAGGAGGCTAGGCACACTTGTTTAATTCTTACATCATCAGCGGTGGAAAAAATGTTGCGTTCAATTCAGAATGTTGATTAAGTTGATGTTGATTAAGACTATTCTTCAAAAAAATGCAGTTTTGTGGTGACTTTGTACTACTGTCTTCTGGTAACATGCTTGTGGGGTTTTTTGTGTCTGCCATGGGTTTTGGAAATGTAGTTTGTTAGCCACCATATTATAGTCCATCCTATGGAAATTAATGAATGATATTTTGCTTATGTAAAGTCCATAGTTAACAGGAATTAAATGTATCTCTGTTTTGCTAGGTATCTGCCTATCTTCCATTCAGATTTGTACTACAATAAATATTTTTATATTTGTATTAAAATCAACATAATACAAATATAATAACTAACAATTTAATACATTCACATTTTATAATTTAAAGGTAATTAAACTTCACTAAATTACAGGCAGCGTCTGGCAGGCACAGAGCCCTAGCTGCAACCCGGCTTGTTGTCGTTGCTGTGCATGCATGCACACATTTCTGTTGCTGTAATATGGCCAGCGCGGCTGCAGGAGGATCAGAGCAGCCAGTTTTGGTCAAAAATGATAAAGGAAAAAGCGATCTTTGGAAATATTTAGTGAAGTGAACACAGCACGCTGCAGACAGCAGGTACAGCCCCTCCCCTCACTAGCAGCTGAGCAGCTGGTGTCGCCAGCATCAAACTAAAATATAACTTCTAACGTTAATGTGGGAGCTAAGCACAAAACTTTGTCAGTCATACCCGTCTGTAACATTAATAGACAATGTTAGTTTAACAGGACAACACAATTATGTGTGTCTGAAAAGTTATGTTAACTGCAAAGTCACAGATTGAAGCTGAACAAACGTTTGGTTTCTCCCGTAACCCCTGGTTCTCTGATCACATAGTGAGGTAGAAACAGGAGCATCCCGAGCCTAAACTACCAACTCTATTTGATCAGCAACGAAAATATGGTGCCAATTCACCAGAAGCATGAAACATTGAAAAACATTGAGAAATGTCGGTCTGTCTCGCCCAAACCCCAAAATTACATCATCTAATGTCTTGTTTCATACTCACGCCAAAGGGTTTTAGTTCACTGTCATGGGAGAGTGTGTAAAGCTGCCAATATCTGAACGTAAGAAGCTGCAGTAAGAGTATTTTGGGGTACTTTTATAGTACTTTTCTATGAAAAATGACTCAAACCGATTAGTCGACTACCAAAATAGTCACCGATTATTTTAATAGTCAATTAGTCATTGATTAGTCGACTAATCGTGGCAGCCCTAGTATCGAGTATTGAATATTTTCCTGGGTATCGATATCGAGTTTGAAATTTTAGTATCGTGACAATCCTATTATATATTATGACGAAAATATTATTGATCACAAAAAGACATACATACACATATACATACATATATATATATACAGTACAGGCCAAAAGTTTGGACACACCTTCTCATTCAATGCGTTTTCTTTATTTTCATGACTATTTACATTGTAGATTCTCACTGAAGGCATCAAAACTATGAATGAACACATGTGGAGTTATGTACTTAACAAAAAAAGGTGAAATAACTGAAAACATGTTTTATATTCTAGTTTCTTCAAAATAGCCACCCTTTGCTCTGATTACTGCTTTGCACACTCTTGGCATTCTCTCCATGAGCTTCAAGAGGTAGTCACCTGAAATGGTTT